GTAGAGAGAGAGAGAGAGAGAGAGAGAGGGGAGAGAGACCAACTCGACATGCCAATCTCCTCAAATCAATCTCCCCGGATTTGTACTGTTTATTGGCTTTAGTTTATGAATATATGTGAAAGAAATGATTATGATAAAAAATATATCAAGGGGACACGGTTTCTACATGTAGAAATGCGTCATGTCTTAAAAATTATTTTTGAGATGGATATTTTAACCGAATTTTTAAGAATATGATCTCTGACATGGAGATCATGAATGTTAACAAATAAATGATTTTTAAAAATTAAAAATAATAGTTTTATGAAGAAATTATTTGGATCATTAGTTTCAAGTTTCAACTGTTTTTAGATGTACCACACATTTGTGTCGATCTTGATGGATGCTTTATACATCGAGGGATGCAAATGCAGGAATGTGTCCCCTGCCACATGCAACAATTTTCCATATTAAAGGAGAAGATTGTTTGATATTTTATAGTTAAATACCAATGGGTGTTGAACTATTTATTATTGGATGCAGTTTGTATGGAGCCTAGGCTTTAAACAATCAAATTAGAGCCTACATTCAAATAGTATTGAGAAATGTGGTTTCAATATTGAAAATCTTTGTGATAGCCTTAAAATATATTTTCATATTTATTTATAAAGTTTAAAGTTTCAAAAATAGTGTAAATCGACATATCTATGAAAACTTGAAAATTGACGGTCAAAAAATGCGTTACAAAATATACTATTTTCAAAACTTGTAATCCATTTTTTTCTATTGTCCATACATTTTGATGTCAAGACGATCAATTTGAAGACATTTGGGCATCAAAACAACCTCTTCTAGTGAAATTTTTGAGGTAGGCTCAAATTTGATTGTTTAGATACTCGACTCTATATAAACTTCTCTCTTTATTATTAACCTATTTGAAACTATTTCAATGGAAGATCATATATTTTTATGGTTATTTTAAAATTAAATAAAAAATATGATATCGTGCTCTTATGGGGTCATACAATAATTTCCTTATCATTTTTTATGCCAGATTTTTTAAAATCCATGAAGGTATAACATAAGATGTAATATATTAAGGAGCAAATTTCTTATATTCCCCCTCCATTATACCAAAATGGGATTTCGGACAACTGCCTTTTGTAAGACACGATATCTGATATTTTAGCAGATATTAGTACTGGTATATTTCGATATCTCCTGGTGACTAAGAAATTATTGTTTAAAAAGACCCATATTTTAATGGGTGATTTTTTGGTGAGATATTTTAATACACAAAATACCAATATCTTGTAAGGTATGTAGAGCGAAACATTATGTTTAGAAACATAAATATCTTGTAAAACTTAACGAATGAGGTATTGATATTCAAAAATACCAATACAGTACAAAGTCACTCAGTTAGATATTACTTCTTAAAAATATAAATACAATAGTATTTTACTTAGGGAAATTTGTTTCACGTGGGCTGGACCGTATTTCTACAATATGCGATTCACTAAAGTAAAATGCAAATAGGTGGTCCATCTAAAAACAATTGAAACTAATGGTCCAAATGTTTTCTTAATATAATTATTACTTTTAGTTTTCAATTTATTTTTTATTTTTTACTTTTTCATATTCATGATCTCCATGTTCAAGATTATACGTCATCTAAAAATTACAATCAAATTATATTTAAAAATATGTTTATTGCAAAGCCCACATTTCTACAATATGCTGGCTGGCCACATAGAAACTGTGTCCAAACATGTTAGTGTTCATAATTGTCAACATCTCATAAGTAGGGCTGCCATTGGGGTAGGTCCGGAAAAATCTAGAAATATTTGGCCTGGCCCGGTAAGGCCCAAAAATATTATGCAGAAGCACAGCGTGGCCCAAAAAGCCCTAAAAGTCAGGTTTGGGCCGGGCCAGGCCCAATCTAGGTCCGTCCCACAGTGTCATAAGGTGTTGAGAGTCTCGTATGAGTGGTTTTCTTTAGAAGTATGTCCTCTCGAGCTTACCCAACAACAATTCCCTACATTTTATTTATCCATAAAGAAATATGTCCTCTAGAGCTTTTGAAAAAAAGACTGGAAACTTGGACGCTACCATAAATAGTGCATCTGTGGTTAGCCTTCTTTGGTTATTTCCGATGTTATTGTTGTCTGACTTTTTTTTTTGTAATACTTTTTTATCAATAAAATTATAGAATATTGTCAAAAAAATAAAAAAATAAAAAATAATGGCATGAAAAGAAAAGGAGAGAGAGACTTGCTTAGGCTCGGGTAGCCCAATAATTGGCTGGGTTAAAAAAAACCTGGCCGGATGGTTGATAAACTGACCCCAATAGCCAGCCAAAACCGGGCTTGGCCAGGGTAACCCGGCCGGTTTTGCAAATATGGACCAGGAAAGAAAAAATTGGGTTTATATTTGCACAGTGTGATCTATTGTTAGATGTGTGCAAAATTATGATTTTTTTGCATTAGGTCATCAAATCACTTAAAAAACGAATACAATGTCCAATGAATCCATGTTGGACCAGTTTTGAGGGTGACATGCCAGATTTTCAGTGGACAAAAAAGTTTATGTTAGTGTCAGCTTTATACTATTGAAGTAGAGGGGACACCTCAAAAACGCATCGAAAAACTTCATCCGATTATGGGTGGCTGGCTGGACCGGGATGCAAAACCCAAAAGTATTCGGGTCCAAGTTTTGGATCCGTCGGCTCAAAAAATTGGATCCATATTTGTACTCGTCAGGGTCTATCTCGTCGGGTCTCGGATCCATTGCTGCCTTCACTATGAGTTTTTTTTTTATTTTTTTTTGCCTTTTATCTACTATCATATACCTTTATGACAACAAGGTCACAATCGCCCGCAATTAGATTTCAAACCGTCTAATTTTTCATTTAATAGCTAAATATGACTATGGGTCTTATTGTATAGGATTAATAGACCTAAACGAATAGGGCCTAAAGTATTTTATCTCCAATATTTTACAGGTACATGTCGGGTCCAACTTGATCGAGACCCAGACCTGAATAGTGTTCGGGTCCAGGTTTTGGACCCGGACTCGACCCACCGGGTCCAAATGTTGGATCTATATACGAACCCGTATCGGGTATACGCAGCTGGTCTGGGTGGGGTCGGGGTCAGGGTCGGGGTCGGGTCCGGGTCCATTGCGACCCCTACATCCGATGTTGGAAAACCTTGAAATTGAACATCCTTTCATCAAGATGTGCCGATATTTGTCGAAAATATCATACTTGCGGTCTTAAAACACTTGTATGAAAAGATTGTTTTGGAGATCCCCCTCTCTCTTATATGTGACACCCATGTCTTGACTTAAAAAAGTTGAAAGAAAACTGTGTATATAAAGTTGGGCAGAAGGCCACTTCCCTCCCAAACCCAAATGGCAAACGTCTTGGAGAGAGAGAATGGGAATGGGAATGGGAATGGGAAGGAAGATGATTACACTAAAGACGGGTCAGTGGATCTGAAGGGAGGCCCTGTTCTCCGCTCCAAAAGAGGAAGATGGCCCGCCTGCTCTTTCATCGTTGGTAAAATCCCCAAACTTTTTATTTTCTTTCTTTAACTTCACCACTTCCACTTCCACTTCCTCTAACACAGAGAGACTTTTTGAGAGAAAGATTCACTGGCTTTGAAAATTGGGGACAATAGTTGTATTTTTTTAGAGCAAAAAAAGATGATTTAGAAAAATTAGGGGAACCATGAACTGTCGTTTCTTTTGAGGATTAAGATGTTGTGTTTTATATTTATATAGAAACAAAAATAGTGTGGTTAAGGGAGAGGGATGCATCTTTTCATGTCTTGGGTTGTTGCTTCATGTTAGAGACAGAGTCATGGCAAGTAGCTGCAAATTAAAGTTACCTTGTTAATCACTATTGCTAATGATTTACAGTTTTGTAAACATCTCTCTCACACACACACATAAGTTAAGATACTAATTCCCTTTTCTCTAATTATGAACGCATACATAATTATCAGGATAATTGCAAATTACACTAACTAAAATCATAATCTCTTTCTTTCCTCAAGATATTGAATGCTCCAACTATGATAATTGTGTTGCTTTAATTTTCTTAATTTTTTTTTGGTTTATGGTTGTAGGGTATGAGGTATTTGAGAGGATGGCTTATTATGGAATATCATCAAATCTGGTGTTGTATTTGACAAATAAGCTACATGAGGGAACGGTGGCATCTTCAAGGAACGTAACAAATTGGGTGGGGACTGTTTGGATGACTCCCATCATTGGTGCCTACATTGCTGACGCCCACTTGGGCCGTTACTGGACTTTCCTCAACTCTTCTGCCATTTACCTCTCAGTAATCTCCTCTTCCCATTACTTATTAACACCTTAATAATATGTCTAGATATAAAAATAGTTGGGCTATAATACTAATTAATTATTATCAAGTTGGTTGTAATATTATTACTACTAACAATAATAGTAAATTTAACTATCAAGATCGGATCACATTAACTATTGACCGGTGCCTTAACCACTCTGATTCAAATAAAATATCGATCGAATACTGGTCAGAGTTAATATTTGTTTGATTTTAGTTGGCCAAAAGGGCTGGTAAGGATTAGTTAGAAATATTAAAAGAGACTTCATATAAAGTTGCAACCTTATAGCATATAACTAAAGTGCACCTCAAAACCGATTGAAAAGTGTGTTCCGAAGTTGAAAATCCTTCCAAATGGATCTATACCTTTTTGAAATATTAAATTTCATATTTAGGGGTTGATATGGATTTTAAAGCCACTATAAATTTTCCGACACCAGAAATACGTCTTCGGGCGAAATTTAGAGGGGGGACGCCTTACTTGTACGGCATAAGGTTGGAGCTTTATAATAACCTCAATCCTTTGAAAAATATTTTAAGATTTTAGCTATTATTATAAGTACATGGCGAATTTGAAGGCTGATGGGACCTGCTTTAGTTCCATAAGGCACGTTACCAGTTCAATAGTTACCGGTCATAAAAAGTATTACTACAGTCTAGTGGTAATAATGGATGTGTACATATTGAATAAGGGTCATCAATCAATGTCCAGCGAGTGGGTTGAATGGCAATGGAGAATACAGTGGGAGGTCTCCATCACTGTCTATTCCATTGATTAAATAGTGAAATGAATAATTTCATGAGGTTAGGACGGTCGCTAAGTGATTTGAGTTACTGGCGTTTTAAAGCCTGCCGATACCAAATTTGATTGTTGATTTAGATTGGAATCGGTCAAAATTCAATTGGATTCGGGAATGTACGAGTCCGACTCGGTGCTCGCCGTAACACCCCATCATCTATTTATTTTCTTTTTTTCGAGCTTATTTAACATTTTTTTAGTTCCCTCTATGCCCCCCACTTTATGAACCCCTCATTTAATATTAATGTTTATTTATTTTTTTAACATTTTGTTGGAGCACCAATTTAGACAGAGCTAGACCAGATCGGGAGCGCCAATAAATCGAGATTTCATGGATTTATGGATGAATGATTTGACCTGCCTCGTTTTTAGTAATCCACCCCCAAACATGATACACAACATTAAAATAATAGGTGGCTTCCCAAAATGGTTGGTATATATAATAACACAGGATTCTATTTTCTATTACACTTCAGTATTACTATTTACCCACGTCACGGGATGCAAACCATCAATTATTAGGGTCTCGTCTCTATAAGGTTGTAACTTTAAACAATCCAATTATGGCTCACCACCAAATTTTATTATAACTTTTAATTTTGGTGTAAATTGTTTTTTAGGATTATTTCAAAATCTATTTTCATATTTCAAATAAAATTGTAAATTTCAAAAATAGTTGAAATCAAGTAAATCTATAAACATATGAAAATTTTGAAAATAGATGGTTTAGATAATGTGTTGCAAGATGCATTATTTCTGAGACACAAATTTTTTTTTGTTTTCATTTTGATATATCTCGATGTCGAGATGTGATATTAGAGGGTTTTTTTCGTATTAAAATAATATTTTTCGATGGTTTCAAAACATATGTTGGGTCATAAAATTTATGAGGTTTATATCTTTTAACCCTTTAAGACAATTTTATTTTTTTTAAACTTATTTTTTTTTGTCCCAAACAAATATAAGAAAAACATATTTTTTCTAAACACCATTATTTTGCGCTCTTCAGGTGATTTTCTCTTAAATCTCTCTTTATCCATTTTCCCATTTTATCTCCGTATGTGTCTCACTCTCTCTCCCCCTTTAGAGAGATAAATACGGTGGATATTAGAGAGAGAAATTTGGGAGAATATATTACGTAAAGAGATGAAGGGTTTAGAATGACAATGTTTTGTTTATATTTATTAGGGTTAAAAAAATAGTTAAAAATAGGGAAAGTTAGCCAGGGGGTTAGGGTATATATTGGATTTATTGAGATATGAAAATAAAAATCAGGAGGTACGAAGATTCCCTAAATTTTTTTCCAATTATTATGAACCAAATAACGCAGGCTGGTCTAGTCAAGATAAGTTGGACCAGGTCAAATAAGTAAAATTGGAATTTTTTTAAATTAAAAAGAATATATTAATAATAGGATATTAATAGATAATATTGGGGAGTGATTTTGGGCAATGGTTTTATGATATTATAATATCCAGAAATTATGTTTGGGCAATTTGTTTTATTCTAATTTTTAAATATATAACTTTTTCAATCTAATGAACAATCATAAAAAAATAAAAATAAAAAATAAAATAAAATGAAAACTTATCTTAGAAGGTGTTTTTTAAGCCCAATTAATATAGTCTTTCGATTTTAATGAGATGCTTAGATCTAGATTTTAGAAAGATGTTTTTTTTTTTCCAATATTTTTAGATAAAGCTTTATTACTATTAGATTGAAAATATTAAAAAGACAAAAAAAAAGAAAATAATTGATTTTGAATTCATTATTCATAAAGACATAGAATCTTAAAATTCTTTGAAATTGATGGTCTATTCCTTATTTGATTGGACCCATTTTGACCGTATATAAAGTGCATATTAATTTTTATTTTTTTTTTAAAATTGTTTATTGAGATGAAAAAGAATGTGTATGCAAAATTTAGGATCACACAAATTCTTCAAACATACTGTTTTAACAGTGTGGTTCCATTACATTACAATATCAAGGTGGCATGAGATCATATCCGTATAATATAAAATTGGCTAGCCAATAGGCCAGCCTATAATATATTAATTTTAGAAAGACATTGTATCTTTCATTTTTGAAAATAAAGTGTGGGGGAGTTGGCGCATTTTATGGCAGTGAATATAGATGACAATTTTCTAAATATTCAGATTTGATGAGAGAGAGAAAGAGGGGGGATAAAGAGGGGGCAAGAGAGCGGGTTTCGAATGCCTATTTAGAGGTGTGCTACCACTACGACTTCAATCCTATTCTTTAATATTTCAGTCATAAAAGTACAAAAATCATATATATATTTTTTTTCTTTCTTTCTTATTTATGGCTAGATGAGTGTGGAATGTAGAAAGCGAGCAGTTTATGTAGTAGGTACTTGGTCCATGTCTTTTATGTAATTTTCGGTACTCTTTTTGTAAATTGCTGAGTATTGTCCTGCTAAAAAGTTAATATATGTCACATGCATTTTTGGCGGTGTACCCACCAACAAATTTAATGGAGGGGCCATCACTGTAGTACAACCTACTCTGATTCACACTGACACTTTTTGACTTAAGTCTTGAATTGAAAGAATTTTTATTTAAAAAAGGGCGATGATTATGATGCAATAATTTTAAAAAACTATTTTATGGCAATGTGTTTGATTCAAAATTTGAAATATGAGGTCTTTTCATTTTAGTGAACAATCATAAAAAAATAAAAATTTGAAATATACATTCTTTTCATTTTAAACTTTAGAAGAATTTTTTTATTTCTAATTTTTTTGGATAGCTTTATTATTATTAAATGAACAATGTTAAAAAAAAAAAATGATTTTTAATTTATAAAAGCTAAGATCTTGAAATTCACAAAATGAATGGTTTAGATTCGTTTTGGAGGGGATTAATTTTGATCATATCTCGGATTCAAATTGAGCTTTCTTTTGTTTGGGGATTGATTATTGAGATAAAAAAATAGTATATGTAAAATTTGGAGTAATACAAATACCACAAATGTGGTTTTTTAGAAGTGTCGATGTGATATATTATAATACAACTGTTGCATTAGATCATTGCTCTTGAAAAAAAGCCCAATTAATAGTGCAATACAATCGTTGTATTAGATATTGCTCTTGAAAAAAAAAGCCCAATTAATAGTGCCAAAAGGGTAAATGAAAAATACTTTTCTACGTTAATCAAATGATCTTCTAAAGAAAATAGAAGTCCAATCAAGGTACTTTTTCAAGGAAGAGGGGAGATGTGATGATAATGGTGGTTTTTATAAAGTACACCTAAAAAGTTATGTGGAAAAGACTGTTTTGAAGCCGAAAACCCTCCATCTGATTATCTCGATCCTGAGAGATGCATTGATACAAGAAAACAAACACTTCAAATTCTAGAAACAAGTGTAGTTTGTAGTATTTTATCTAAATAGTTCATTTCAAAGATTTCCAAATGTTTATAAATATGCTGGATTTACATTGTCTTTGAAACTTTAATTTTCAGAATTAGTTATAAAAATATATTTGAGGACCATCATAGATATTTTTGGCACTTGAACCACATCTTTCGGCTTAAATTCGAGTTGCATCTTACTTAGATTGTTCAAGGCGGCAACCTTATACAAACCTCACCTGGCCAAGCAAGTTTTTTCATCATTTTTTTTTTCAAAGCTAGAAGATATTGATAATTGTGGTGACTATAAATTACAAACAAATCAGCCTTTTCATTTTTTTATTTTTATAATTACCCTAATAATACTACTGCAAATATTCTCCAAGAAAGAAAAAAAAGGGTGTAAAGCGAAGGTCCCTTTCCTATCCCTTTCATGAATGGAAGGAAGGTAGCGTTGCAACTTCACTGTAGACTTTGGTTGCTTGTTCTCCACAACATAAATGACAAAATAGTGTTCGTCCACGCGTGCACACGTACAATTCAACGACTGCGATTTGCTCAAATGAGTCGCATATTATCTCTACATATACCGACATTTATGACATGGTAATATAAAAAAATAAAAATCTAGGCACACGTGTGCATGACACCGTGCGAGTCATGCTTTTGCCCTTCGTATATAACTGGCGTACAGGAGTGACGGGCGTTCCGTTTGCCAAAACCACTACTTGGGGCGACTACACGGCCATGCTCGATTACAAGTACTCAGGCCCGAGTATTGTAGAAATAAAAAAGTTAAAAAAACTATAAAAAAATCCAACAAAATAAGAAATGTATGTTTAAAGTAAGATTAAGCAATGGGCTGGGACTAGGGCTTAGTATTAAGGCCTATTTATAGTCTCCGTTTATTGATATTTTAAGGCCCATTGGATTAACGGGCCTGTCCCAGGCTAGGAAGCGTGGCCCAGCCCGCCTACACCTGTATGTAGAGCTAGCGCAAATCGCGTAGGGGTATATGAAATCAGATGTGTGTGTGTGAGGGGGAGAATCTTCATTTCTCCTAGAATTAGTTCTCATGGATAAAACTTTCCTGCAGGGAACAAGCAAAATTGTTTCATGGAGGCTGGACCGCATGGCTGCTTATGCGGTCCGAAAAGCACATGACTGCATATTTGGTCCTAAAAGTGTGAAGCATCCATCTTAAAGATGGATGCAAGTCGGTGTTCCATCTAAAAACAATGGAAATTAATGGTCCAAATGTTTTCTTACTGAAATTATTATTTTTAATTTTCAAAATTTACTTATTTTTTCGTATTCATGATCTCCATGTTAGAGATCACGTGTCTTTAAAATTAAGTCAAAAAATCCATTGTAAAAGTAGATTTATTAATAGGCTTACATTTCTACGTATGCGGGCTTGGCTGCATAGAAACTGGGTCCGAAGAACAAACATCTCGAGAGAGAAAAAAATAAATGCAGCTTAGATAATCATAGTCATGTACTTTCCAATGAAATAAACACGGTGTGCAGGTCCAGCGGGAAAGCTCTCGCCTGGATAGAACTTTCCTGCCAAGCATACATCTAGAAGGAGAACTTTCCCATGAAATAACTGCACCCAAGATTATCATAATTACAAGATTACCATAGTCATATACTACCACTAATACTTGTCCTCTCTCTTTCACACAGGGTTATGCTTTTTCTGATACTAGCTGAAATCCCCTGCTACTACATGAAATTTTTAACAATTCTCATCCACTTGTTATCTTTGTTCTCTCTTTCTCTCACACACACACAGCCATGTTTTTCCTTGTACTTGCTGGGATTTCCTGGTACTAGATGAAATTTCAAACAATCCTTTCCTGCTACTAATCTCCCTGTCACTCTTTGTGATTCATGACTTCCATTAATACTATAGCTCAAATGCCTTAACACTAGCTAAAAATTCCAAACCATGCAACCACTAAAACTTGCCTCCTCCTCACCCTCATGTCACAGGGAATGTGTCTGCTCACACTAGTGGTTTCCCTCCCCGCGCTCCGCCCACCAGCCTGCAACAGCAACATTCATGATTGCACTGCAGGCTCTGCGCCCCATGCCTCTACATTCCAAATTGGGATCTTCTACTTCGCTCTATACGTCCTTGCTATTGGCACAGGGGGAACCAAGCCTAACATCTCCACCATGGGAGCTGACCAATTTGATGAATCCGACCCTAAGGAGAGGAAGCAAAAGCTCTCCTTCTTCAACTGGTGGATGTTTAGTATCTTCTTCGGGACCTTGTTTGCCAATACCTTCCTTGTATATATCCAGGATAATGTTGGATGGACTCTGGGCTATGCTTTACCAACAGCAGGACTCTTCGTATCTGTCTGTGTATTTATTGCCGGGACGATGTTTTATAGGCATAAGCTGCCTTCTGGGAGCCCATTTACCCGAATGCTTAGTGTTTTGGTGGCAGCTTCTCGAAAATGGAATGTTATGGCCCCTGATGACAGCAAGGAGCTTCATGAGTTGGATGCTGCATACTATGCTGCGAAGGGCTCGTGCAGGATCGATCTGACGCCTGAGCTAAGGTTTGTGAGAGTCTAATGTGTGTCCATTACGGCTTAATGTAGGAGCCATTGTCATAGGAATGCTTGATTTTGTTAAATTTTTTTCTAGGATTTCTAAGTCTAATACTAACTGGGAATGAATGGCAAGTACCATATGAAAGCTTTTAAATGACATATGGACACAAGGAATTTTACTTACCACCAAAGTTTGAAATTGATGATTTTAAAATGGTTTTCAAAATTTACAGTTGTTGTTGATACTTACTTAATTAGTAGAATCTGCTCGCTAGAAAAGAGATAAGAACCAAATCTTATACTGTAGGAAAGATGTGTTGCCCATTTGGAATATGGTTATTTTATTGTCTTTCTTATATTTTAAATTTCAGCATTTATCAAATTCATGACCTAATCGTTTGCAGGTTTCTTGACAAAGCTGCAGTAAAGAGTGGCCCTGAAACTCCTTGGATGCTTTGCACTGTGACCCAAGTCGAAGAGACAAAGCAGATGATAAAAATGATCCCAATTCTGATAGCCACATTTGTGCCTAGTACCATGATAGCTCAAGTGAATACCCTCTTTGTGAAACAAGGAACCACCCTAAATACAAGCATGGGTCCTCATTTCAAGATCCCACCTGCAAGCCTGACAGCTTTTGTTACCATTTCTATGCTGGTTAGTGTAGTGATTTACGACCGAGTCTTTGTCCCGATGATGAGGAGATACACAAAGGATCCGAGAGGGGTATCGCTGCTACGGCGTATGGGAATTGGCCTTGCTCTACACATTATTATAATGACAGTCGCGTCCTTGATCGAAAGAAAGAGACTGAGCGTAGCTAGAGAACACGATCTAGTAGAACATGCAGGGACGATCCCTCTCACCATTTTCATATTACTCCCACAATTTGTTCTCATGGGAATGGCAGATGCCTTTCTGGAAGTTGCAAAGATAGAATTCTTCTATGATCAAGCACCAGAGAGCATGAAAAGTCTTGGAACTTCATATTCAACAAGTAGTTTAGGTATTGGGAACTTCCTCAGTAGTTTCCTTCTCACAACTGTGCATAATGTCACAGGAAAGCATGGCAAAAAGAGTTGGATTCTCAATAATTTGAATGACTCTCATTTAGACTATTACTATGCATTTTTTGCGATCTTAAACTTAGTGAATTTCTTCTTCTTCTTAGTAGTGGCCAGATTTTATATCTATAGAGCAGAAGGATTTGGCATACAGAATATTCAAGCGAAGGCAATAAGGACATCAGCCGTAGGGGATGGCGTTCCTGTTAAAGATTTGAGATCAGGATAGTTTCTGATATTTGTATTTACATGATCTTTGTACTCTAAAGAATGTAATTCATGCAGGTCTAAAATTCGAGTGTTGATAACAAAGATTTTTGCTTGTTTTTGAGAAGGAAGTCTTTCGTAATATCCTCCACTCCTGCTGTGAAGTATATGACATGAACCCCGTATCTATGCGGCCAAGCCCGCATGCGGGCCTCTTAATAAATCTATTTTGGGATGGATTTTAAGGCTTAATTTTTAAGAACATGTAATCTCTAACATAGAGATCATGAATATAAAAAATAAATAAATTTTAAAAACTAAAAATAATAGTTCTATTAAGAAAAGATCTGGACAGTTAGTTTCTATTGTTTTTAGATGAAACACCTACTTGAGTCCATCTTTAAGATGGATGCTTTACACTTTTTGGACTGCATATGTAGAAATACGGCTCTGCCTGCATGAAACAATTTTCCATATGAAATTGTACCATTGTAATTTTAGACCTATGTGAGAATGGGCAATATTCTTATCTTTGTAATCAATGTATTAGTCAGTGTAGTAGGAGGCCGAGTCAAGGCCGATGCCAAGTTGGGGTGAGTTCCAGGTCACTTGAAAAGCCCAAAAAAAGGTGTAAAAAATATAAGTTTTTTTAAAAAAAAAACAAAAAATGGTAAATGCTTATATATTAGTTAGAAGTAAAAAGATCGGTTTGATCAAAATGACCAACTTATCTGGCGATAAACGAGTGGATACGTCAATAGAGGTGAGTGTAAAATATAAGAAGGATGATAGAGACAGACTTTTAGGTCCCATTATGTATAGACAACTAGTTGGCAGTTTACTTTATTTTACCATGACACGTCCTGATATATCCCATGCAGTATAAGTCGTCAATCAATTTGTTGCAGATCTACGTCGCATCCACCTTTTGGCTTTCCATCATACTATTCACTATCTGCAGGGTACATGCCATAGAGGCCTATTTTTTTCCTCTACCTCTTATCTCCAATTACGAGCCTATGCTGATGCGGATTAGACAGGTTGTCGAGATACTCAACACTCAACTACTGGACGGTGTATATTTCTTGAAGGCTCTTATCATGGAAATATAAGAAACAACAAACTGTGTCCAAATCTTCTGTGGAAGCCGAATACCGAGTAATGTCCTCAGCTTGCAGTGAAATTACTTGGTTAAGAGGACTTTTACATGATCTCAATATTTTTCATCGATCTCCTACGCCATTGTTTGCTGATAATATGAGTGCTATACATATTGTCTCCAATCTAGTGTTTCATAACAGTATAAAGCATATAAAAGCTAATTGTTATTTCTTTCGTGAAAAATTCCTAGCTGGAGAAGTTACACTACGACATATTGTCTCACAATAGTAATTTGCAAATATTTTTACCACGGCAATGACTCGTGCTTGTCATGACTATCTCGCTGACAAACTGATAATCAACATCAGTTTGAGGGGGAGTGTAGAGATTGAAGATCTTGTATTTATTTGTTATTATATGAAACGTGTAAATTTCATAAGAAGTTACTCATTATTATCTTCCTGTACAAGTTATCTCTAGTTGTATTATAGATACATGTTAATAATAGTCAGTAGATACAAGTTTTTCCTTTACCTCTTTGTGTGTTTGACACTAAGATGATTTTGATAGTTTTAAGATGACTTGGAACTTTCATATTTTTTTAATTTATTAAATTTTATAAAATATTCAAAGCCTAAAACAAAATTTTTCATAAATCCATCTTTTAGACCCTTTGGAGCCTCATCTTTCCCTTTCCCTTGTAATGGTGCCGGCTCCACCTTTCGTACATTATTTTCTCTCTCTACCACATCCATCTCTCTCTCACCTCCCTTCTCCGCATCTCGCCCTTGCTCTTGGGTTGCTATGGTGACAGCCCTTCCTTTTTCTTTCTTAAGACTGGGTCTGAGGAGTTAAGACCTTCTCCATTCCTTTATCTTGTTTCTCACCATTGGTGATACCCTCCTATCTCTCTCTTCCCTCTACAAATAGGTTCTCATGGCCTGTAGTGTCCATGGAACCTTGTCTTGTGCTATAGACAAAATGATTTCTTGACTTGGGTAGGCATAAGGGCTTTTTGTTCACCTCCTTTCTCTTTTAGCTGGTCTTGAGGAGCACTAGCCTTCTCCAAGCCTCTCTCTTGAACTAAGGCAGGCTCCTTCTCTCTCATCTTTGAAGCCTCCTCTTGTTCTTGAGCCATATTAGGCTCTATCTTGGACTCACCTTTACTAGGGACTTGGGTACAAATAAGAACTTCCATCTTTGTCTAAGGGCTTATCTATTGCCATATCACCTTCACCCACATTCCTCTTCTCCCCTTGAGACCTATCTTTGGGTCCAACATGGGTTTTCAAGGGACTCACCTCATTCTCTTAGATGTGCATCTCTTTCCCATCATGGAACCCATTTGTGTGCACAGTGGCTCTATCCAATGAGTCCATGGTTGAACCAGGGTCATTCTTGTTGGTTGGGTTGAGAGTCACTTGACCAGGACCCCTAACCCCAAAAGTTAGCCCTTTGAGGGATTGGAAGGCCAAGTTTCTGGTGAGAAATGTGTAGAGTCTATGGCAAATGCACTTAGGCTTGGTGGTGGTTTCCTACCTATCCATTTCTAAAAACAAGAGAGGTCAAGGGAGAGGAAAGCTTGGGGGATAGACTTTTGGGTGGGTTGGAGATTACAAAGGGGAGGGGTTTTATGTTACATTGTTCTGTGATTCTTGTGTTGGGATAGATATGAGGTTGCTTGAGGAATTTACCTACATAAAAGAGTATGGTGAGCCATCCGATATATTCCAAACTAACGTTCAATTAAAAATGGAGGAAATTGTATTGCAGAAGATAATGCCTAGTAGAGAGGATTAGTTTATAATTTCTATTTAAGAAAAGAAACCATAAATGAAGAAAGGGTGTCGTTTGTATAGAGCGTGGGCTCTAAACAATCAAATTAGAGCCTATCTTCAAATAGTGTCGAGAAATATGGTTTCAATACTGAAAATCTTTATGATAGCTTTAAAATATATTTTCATCTTTATTTATAAAGTTTAAAGTTTAAAAAATAGTATAGATAGATTGATGAAAACTTGTAAATCTTGAAAATTAACGTTCTAAAAATGTGTTACAAAACAAAACACACTATTTTCAAAACTTGAAATCCATTTTTTTCTCATATCCATGCATCTTGATGTCAAGATGATCAATTTGAAGATATTTGAGCATCAAAACAACCTCTTCTAGTGAAAACTTTGAGGTTGGCTCTAATTTGATTGTTTGGAGCCTCGGACTCTATATAAACTTTTCCCCAACCGGAGAGATAAACAGAGAGATTTAGAGAGAGAGAGAGAGGAGGGGGGGATCGAATACGATATGTACTCTGCAATGATCTTATCAGGGATGGGAGTGAGATCCAGTTTCAGGAGGTCTTCCAATTTATTGACAATGCCACTATCACGAGATTTTGCAGCTTTTACAGAGAAAACTCTAAATTTGGGGCATTTGAAGCTGTTTTTTCTTTTTTTTGAAACAAGTTGAGTAAATATTCATTAATATTAGGGGATAAACTCCATTATTACAATTACAAAGAGGAAAAGTACGGTGAGAAGCCCTACTTCAAAGAACAATTACCAAAAATGGAAGCTGTTTCTTCTGCTAAGTCTCTGGTTTAATAGAAGTGAATTCCACATTTTTGCAGCCACAGATTCTACTTTAATGGAAACTTTTGCGGATCCCAAGGATTTGCACCATTTTTTTGTAAGAAAAGGGAAGAAATAACTTTAAATGTTGAGAGTTAGATGAGAGACTACCAAAACGAACATGAAAGAGTGCCACTGAAATGAATATGGGCATTTCTCAAGAAAAATGGTTTAAAAAACGGATCGGTGACCCGGATCGGTCTTCCAAAAAACCGATCG